GTTCCCCACCTGGAGGTTGTTCAGGGGGTCCATCTTCATGACAGAGCCGACGGTGTTCAGCGGAAGGGAGATCTCCACGGACTGGTTGGGGGCGAGAGGTGCGTGGACCTGGAGAGGAGCTGCTGGGGCGAGGCCAAAGCTGGGGAGACACCCGAGGAGGGCAGGGGGTCAGTGTGGGGGGCAGCAGATGATGGCAGAAGGCAGTGCCCATCTGCTCTGCGCCAACCTCGGGACTCCCTGCCTTCCTCCACCCACACCCCAGGAACACCCCGGCTCATTTTGCTGCTCCTGCACAGTCCAGGACCAGGCTGAGGCAGTAACAGGTAGCCCCAAAACTTCACCCCTTCCTCCTACACAGACTCACACCCATTTTTCTGCACCATTCCCTCAGGGCCATCCCTTGCTGTGTCCCTTTGAGGGAAAAGGAAGCATCGGTTCACCAGGAGGACAAATAATGAGACAGTGGTCAGACCCCAGAGGAACGGCCTCTTCAGTCAACTTCTTAGAGGCTTTGGTTTGATGATCATCACCACCACAGCCATCAGAGAGAGAAGGGTCATCACGTGAGGCTGTTCCAGCCCTTGCAGCCCCTTCCTCCCACCCTTTTCATACGCAAACCACTCCAGGGCTGAGCTCGGAGGCGTCACGCAGCATCTTCACTGGTTGCTGCTGGCGCAGCCCAGGAAGGACCTCACCTGTTGCGGTTGAACTGGATGGCGAAGTCGGACATGACCTGCAGGGCTTTGTTTGTTAGCACGAGGTCCATGGAGATGGAGCCAACCTGCCGGCTGAAGGTGCCGGAGATCTCCAGCCCCTTGGCTTTCATGGCAGGGAGCCAGACCTGGGTTAAGGAGACAAGAAACCCTTGGGGTTTTACCCAAAGTGAACCCTTTGGTGCTCTCCAGCCTGGCAGAGCTGCGCAGGGCGCTGGTAAAACCGGGAGTGTTTCACAACTGCAGACACGCGGTCGGCACAGGCACGGTGGCTCTCACCCCAGCCAGCACTGCAGGATGCTGCCGCCGCCTCCTCCAAACCTCACCCCGCGCACCGGGAAACAGCACAGCCCCAAACCCAGGCCTGGCCAAGACGAGATCTGACAGATCCCTGCTCTCACCTCTGCTTAGGGCTCTGTGCCACCTGAGCAACACGCAGACCTCCTCTGCCCCATGTCCCCGTGCCCCAGCAAGCTCTATAGTGTCCTCTCCGACTGCAGGCCACCACCCTCACACCCCTCTTGCTACCATGCTAGGAAAGGGGGGCTCGTCTTCTACCTCCCCCCAGGGAAGCCCTGCCCCTTAATGCTGCAGCCCTGACCTTTGCCAGCAGCCAGCGGCTGGGGCTCGGCTGTCCCACTCACCGTTTTGGGTGCCACGTAGGATCCCGACAGGGTCCCCACCCCACCGGTGAGGTCAAAGAGGTCTCCCAGGCCGCTGCTGAGGGGTGCCCCCAGGTTTGTGGGCATCGCGGTGCTGGGTGCTGGTGCAAAGCTGCCACCGCCACCCATCTGTGGGGGATAAGGGAGTGGGTTATGGGGGGTACTCTGGGGGAGAGGAGGAGGAGGAAGATGCAGAGGGTGAGAGAGGGGTTTGGGCGCGAGGACACACTCACGGCAGGGCTGCCTCCCACATCGCTTCGCAGCTGCAAGAGAAGAAAGGGGCATCAGCAGGGGCAGGGGCCAGCGCGCCGAGGACACAGAGGTCCCACAAAATGCCCCATCAAGGGCACTCTAAAAGCATCAGTGTGGGCTAGTCAGGGCCCAGAGTCAGTAGGGATGCTCCAGTGGTCCCGGACCTGG